TTTTATTTAAAAAAACTTTTCTAGAGTACTGAGCATCGTTAAGTGATTGCAATCACAAAAGTAAAATAACGATTGAATCTTACCTCATTGTCTAGAACATTAGCAATGACCTCAACAAGCATAGCTCCACAACCGTTTGTTTTGTCAGCTCCACAGGTTTCAACAAGTAATTCCGGTTGAATGTAGTGAACTATTTTACGAATCAGACTTAAACTGGCTTTCCTCACACTTGGTAACATCGTTGATTGAAAAGTTGAGCAAAATACAGGCAAGAGTCTTTTGAGATACACTGGAGCCATTTCCGGATCACCTTTGGGTTCGGATAACTCTTTAACGTCGTTGCTCTCTAATTTACGATCGTCTTGGCCAGGCGGGGGCAACATCCACTCCGCTGGTGACTGTAATATAGCGGCAACTTCGCGATGGCCCTCGTCTACTCTTTCCCTAGCTTTGTCCAGGGGCGTTTTGCCATCTTCATCACGTAAATCTGGATTGGCACCGTGTTTCAATAAAACTTTGGCAATCGCAGGTCTCCCGAAACACGCGGCATAGTGGAGACTCGAGGAACGCTGACCCTTGTTTACGTCCGCGCCCTTATCACAGAGAAATTCTACCATCTCTTGCGTACCGAAGGCTGAGGCCCAGTTAAGCAAAGTTTGGCCAACGTCATCCATAAAATTAACTTCAATTCCTCCCGACTCAATGGCCTCTATCAAAGCGTCGGTGTCTTTGGATCGTATGCAGTCGATAAGTTGCCTGTGGCTTTTTTCTCCGGCGCTATCGAGCCGCCTCAGTCGAGGTAAAAGAGGCCCTGATGAGCCATTGTTGACGCTCGATCGTCCTAGAGCCGATCTACCCTCGAACAACAGTACCAACAGCAAGTCCACCAACCGCATTGTGTCAAGAGCACAGCGTTCGTCACCTTTCAAGGCCTTTTCAATCGCGTCCGGCAAATTTGAGCGTAACAAATCGTGAGTTATCGATGCGGAACCTCGACACAAAGTTGACAGTAGACTGATTATTGTGGAGACAGAAGCACAGGATTTAGCTTCCGATGTTGTGATTGGCGTGGTTGCTACACTCGGTGTCGCTGGAGATTTGGCATTGCCAGGCGTCATGTTGATCGATGAAATCGGCCCTGCTGCATTTGACAATCTAAAAATTGTTGTACATGTAAAGAAGTAATTTTACGTTTGTCCAGTTTTACAAAGCCTATAGAGATTTTATTCGAATCGGCATCAGTTACCTGTCCAAAAGTTCGATAACAAGACCGTTGGAGGCCAACGGTGCTGGATCAGTACCTCGTCTGGAAAATCTGTCGGCCAGAGAGGCAAAACAACGTAAAGCGCCATCAGCAACGTGGGCATCTCCATGACGTAGCAAAGTTGAAAGAGCTTCAACGCAATCGGGTAAAGATTTATCCTGAGGTTCAACTTTACCACAAAGGCGTGAAACAACAGCCATAGCGGAATGCAATGTGTCACGATGTACTTGTGCTCCATGTTCTCTAATGAATGACAGAGCGCAAGAAAGACCACCTGCTTCAAAAACGGCTCCTGCTTCTCGAGCGCAAACCAATTCTAGGACCTAAGAACAATCGAAATAAGTATCAATGCTCCAATTTCTCAAATCGATTTGATGAAATTCTTCAGTATAAAGCATCATTGATTTACCTTTATACACTGTTCAGCCAAATCTTTACTAGTTCTTGAACCAAGTCCGGCACAGGAGAGGCGACTACAAATGGCCTTGATGGCACCTTCCATAGCGACAACTCTGCGTGTGCATTCCGCCGAGACATCAAGGTAGTATGTTATAGCTCTTGCTGTTACTTCCAAAACACTGTCAGGAGCCAACTCATCCAGAAATATACGACACAAAGCCGGTAAAAATGTTCTTGGAGGACAACTGTCAACACATTACAATTACAAGTTATGTTAGATAGTGTCAAAGGGAAACGGGATGTAAAAAATGATTGAAATTTCACCTCTCAAAGCAACGATCCACATTATCAGACATGAGCAACAACATGCATAATTGCTCCAGAGCTATTTGCTGCATGTCTCTTTCATCACCCTGGCCCATACTCAGCCATTCAAGCAGAGTTTCTGGATCCACCTCTGCCATTTTGCTTAATATAACTTTTTTATTTTATATTTTTAATT